AACAGACTTAACTATTATGTGGGAGGAGAAATTGTAACAATTGCACATATGGACAGACCTCTCTATTTGGTACGTTCTTTGTTAGGCAATTTTCGCTCTACTTTTCACTTTACAATCTCCATTTTTAGCTGGGATACATGGCTAAAGAATCACGTGTATATGCGGTGGACAAGGAGTTGAATGTAGTATCTTACAAGTTGCTTCTCTCTGTTTTGGAGTACCAGACCGCCGTCATGAGAAGAGATTTTGAGACTGCTGACAAGGTATGCATCTCATTCAGGTTGGAGTTGGTACATCTTGATTAGCCTTGAATCTTGTTTCAAGGTACTCGCCACAATTCCGAAGGAGCAGCGTACTCGGGTGGCTCACTTCCTTGAGAAACAAGGGTTCAAACGACAAGCTCTTGCTGTTTCACAGGATCCGGATCACAAGTGAGTACATTTACCAATTAACATGCATAATCTTTAATTTGTGCACATAAACCCAGTAATTTGGCTCAAAATGTATTTCCAATTCACTTTTTTGCTAGGTTCGATCTTGCTCTTGCACTTGGAGACCTGAAGACTGCATATGACCTTGCATTGCAAGGTGACAGTGAGGAAAAATGGAAAATGCTCAGTCAGGTACTCTCGATTTTATTCTCACTATGGCTTTTGATGTCATTTTGTTTAGGCTGCGACCTTGAAATCTGAACTCATGCTCGCTGGAGAATGTCTTGGTCGCGCAAGGGATTACGGTGGACTGCTACTGTTAGCCACATGTGCTGGTTCTGCCCCACTTTTGAGCAAGGTGGGTGTGCGGTAGGCGAAGAAATCCGTGTAAAAGTTTAAGTCTGCTGATATCATGATCAGTTCCATGCGTTTCTTGTCGTAGAATCAGTTAGATCGATCACGACTGCGTAAGGTGCTGTGAAAACTCTGTCAGTCACTCCATTGTTTTTGTTCTTTTTGGTTTGATAATGTTGGCAGCTGAGTCACAATTTTACAAATGCAGAACGGTTTAAATAGCAGAACATTGTTTCCTTCAACGTT